CTCTTCAAACAATTACTCGGCTCCTAATGGCCCCACCCAAGAAAAAGACTGACTTGATTCTGAATATTGCTATTACATCATAAGTCCGCTATGGTAGAGCATCCCTATTTACAAGCTATTGGTGTGGATGCCATTGCAGTTGTCGCCAGCATAAAAGCAGTGCAGATGACAAGCAAGCAAATACCAATGCAACCATGTCCTTCAAATAGGATTTGCCGGGTCGCTGTTGTAAACCATTCAAGTGAAGTAAGTGCTAGTGTTCTTGACGATGCTGAACATTTTGTGTTTGCTGCTACAACGACATCGATTTCCTCTGTGGCCAATATTAGCGCTGGCTAAAATGATCGATTATCGGATATATCGTGGATAGGAAAACTAATGAATGATTTTCAATATGAAAATTGTGATATCCATAATACCGTACATAAACCTCTGTGGTCTAAAATCTGTTTAACTTTCTGTAAAAATACACAAATTTATAACTTTATTCATGATCTACTTCTACATTATGTTCAGGACGCTTTTTGGTAATAATCCACGCAAAAACATGTCTTCACTTACATAACAACGTATGGTATGGATTTACAACTTCTTTAATATTGCAATGTATGTGTTTTCCCATGTTCCCCTTAAATCACTGTACATGCATTGATGTGTGTTTCCATATATGTGTTTTCCTATCATTGTTTTCATAAGTGGCTTCCAACCATCCTATCATTGATTTCATATGTGGCTTCCAATCAATCCTATCATGCTTATCCTTTTCATTGTATAAACATTCTGTACATCCATTGCATAAACATACCACTTAATCTGTTTGAACTCTGCAAATCTCAATCCAAACACATCACTTTATCTCTGTACATCTCAATCGGTAATACTATCTCACTGGCTTCCTGTACACGTGTATACTAAATATTTTGCTCGTACCATATTCTGTCATTCACCTCATGAAGTGGCAAGAAATAACTCAGAAACGTCGTGTTGTAAATATTAAAGAAGTTGTAAATCCATACCATACGTTGTTATGTTACCTTCCAACTTCTAAATGCCCATCAAGCACATGTCTCCACTTACCAGTGATGTGAAATATATTCATTTCATTCAGGCAATGTTTGCTCAAAGATAAGTCTAAGAAATTTATCGATAATCGATCAAGAGTTAGTTAACGATTGTTGATGTCTATGATCTAAATTGATAGCCAACCCTAACCAAGATGATGTCTGATGGGAGATATCACTTGCCCGACTACCTTGTTCTCTGGCTCTTGATACAAGGTGGCAAATATTGTATGTCAGTAATCGGCAAACTCTCTAATTACTTTCTGGAGTGAATGCTAATAACATTTAAAAATATTTTTACCATGGTGATCTACCCTCCTTCGATGACAGCATTTTAGAAAGAGTAAATGTATCTATTTGACTTTATGTCGTAACGATATGGCTGACATATTGTCGAAGTGACGTAACATTTTAATTATATCCTTTTGCATTGACAGTCTTGACAGTTATAATGTACTTTACCTCGGGATTTAAAAGAAGGTAATGTAACGGTTCATAATTTGCGTGACAAGGTTTAAGAGTTCCCTTTGAATCAGCAAAATAGACCACAAACACGTCTAAAATATTCAATAATATATTGAGCAAACAACGAGCAAGCTACAATGAATGACAATACAGATATCTAGTACAATGCAATTGAGTCACAAATCTAACATATTGGGTCACAAATATAAAATAATAACTCAAGAGTCTTTACATTTACAGTGAGAGCAGATATACTGATTGAAGGTTGTTTACAATGACAACAGTTGAATATAGACGAGCACTGTCAGTCTTGACGATGTTTAGCAAACTCAACGACGGCAGACAGGTGTGGATAACTCCAGTGATGTGATAAGTCCCGTCGCACTATGCAACAACCAGCCTTTGTAAAGCTCTTACACAGTTCTAAAACATTCTATCAAAGCTTGGCTCCATTATTATTCTCTCGGAACGTTTCGGGATTTTCTCGAACATACGACCGGAAGTCAAAACAAAATAAAGCCAACCAAGCTAGGCAAGTCTGAAGAGCTGTCAAAAAGGCGTACAGCTAAAAATACTCTTGCCATTGAAGATACATGATGCGAGATGCGAGTAAAAACCCACACTCAAACCTTTAAACATTGTCACCCATAATAATTATCACTTAATCAATGTGATATTACAAATTACAAAAAAACACACTCTCATAACAACGTGTAAAATGAACACGTTTACAATTAAATGACGGATGCAATTTGCTGTATATTTCATCACGCTTGTCCCGAACCAAAATCGGTGGCCCGTTTGAGTTCGATATATGCCTGTTTTTACTGTATTGGCTTCAATAAAGGGCAATTATTGAATAATTGGCGGTTACTGCTTTCACTCGTAACGCCGAAGACCCAGGTTCGATGTTCCACATGGGTCCACTTAGAGAACCCCGTATTTGGTGTCCTACGTGATTGCTGGAATATTACTAAAAGGGGCGTACAACATACTCTCTCACTCACTTAGTATGCCAATGAATCTTATGCAAAGAAGGTTATGCATTTACTCTGTTGCTATGACCATTGATTTTAATGCCACTTGTTTGCTTGAAAACTTTTAAATTTTGTGAATCGTGCATTTATATTTCCCAGCAAAGGTGGGCGTTTGTTCGTCACGCCGATGATGCGGTTCGATTCTCCATATGGATGAAACCCATGTCTGGTATCCGTTACCGTAAGTCTGCTGGGCTGTTGCAGTAGAGGCGCAAAACCGTGCTCACTCACTCTTGTGTTGGTATGTCCAATCACTTTGTTTAGAGGTTAAAGCGAAGTTACTGTAATTATTCAGAATGAACGTAACGATTTGTGTAGTTATTTGAGCATGATGTGTCCAAGTGCATTGCCTTTACCACACAGGATGTGTAAATATTATAGCTGCACTAGCCAAGACAGTTTTGTATTAATATATTAATACTATTTATTTGTCCACACGTTCCAGATGATGGTAAAGACATTCTACTGTGGACCTATAGGAAGTTACCAGTAAAACACATTACATGTCAAACTAAATCAGTATTAGAGTAGGAAGAGGCGACTAACGCGATCGGGTGGTCAGGTTCGCTGACACATGTAATCGTATTGCAATTGTGAAGATCGATGGTGATGCTGTCGATCACTGGATTGTCTGATCCAGATTCGATTATTTACAACCCGCCGTCATATATATGAAATATTGTTGAATATGGCGTTAAACAACACTCATATTGGAATAATTGCTGCTGTGCAATGGACCCTTTGGAGGCCAACGAGCAGATACTTTCTTCATTATGAAAGTCCTCCTTGATAACGGAATGCATATTGTCCTTTGAAACAATAACTGAATCAACAGTGTGATGCTCATCTATTTATTACCATATGTTGGATATTCAAGATACAGGACAGATTTCGTCTTCATAGCTCTCCCTGCTACGGCTATAGCTTGCTGCCCAAGTATTCCCGTCAGTGGCATTGGAAAGGGTTTCCTTCCCAAGTATTAAGAACGAGAATTGCATTCATGTCAACTTCTTTAGTATTAGGAACACAGCGTTTGCGGGGTATATACTTACTCCTCTATGCTACGAGACAGTGGGCATATATATGTACATGTAAGAACAACAAAAATAGTAAGACAACAAAGGTGGAGGCTTAACAAACGTAGCCAACAGTTAGCTAGCGCTGATACGTGATTGGCAGAGGACAAATGGAAGCCAACATTTTGCGGGCAGTTAATTATCGTTGATAGATGACGACAATGGACAATGGAAGCCGGGACTTAATTACAGGCAATGGACATAGGACAAACGAGTGGTAGCGGGTAATAGAACTGATAGGTAAGAGCAATAGAGATGGGTGAATAGAAGCCACACAACAAAAATTAATAATTACCACAGACTATAATCCAAGCAGTTACCCCAAGGCGCTGGGCAGATAGGTTCCCTGGTTATGGCAGGCTGGTATCTACTTATAGCAAAGGCTTCTTGTAGTTTTCTCTGTCGCCAGTTGTTGTTGTTGGTGGTAGACAGGACTTCGGTGGCTTCCGACATGATGTGATGATCTTGGTTCTTGAGCATGTGTTCGGATTTCAAGTCCAATGTCTTAACGGGGGACAGATGTTCCATATTATATAGAAGTTGACATCCATAAAATTCTCTTCCGTATGTGTATCACATCTGAATGCTATTCAAAGACCTTCAATTAATGGCTTGATGTAAGGACCTTTGAACTTTTGAGTCTTATGGCAGATGGAGCAAGCTGTTTTTGTGTGCCGCAAATTATGTTAAAGGCATACACTCTTGCTGTGTAACTGTTAGAGTATTACTGAACATGCAGGTAAAGTTGACTATTGAAAAGTTTTTTATCAAGTTCTTTATCAAGAAGAGGAGCATATAAACGTGTTTAATATACAATCTTGTTGATTGTTTCATATGCAGATATTTAGAATATATATAATGTGCTGGAAAATTAGAGGTACATAACGAAATTATTATAGCTCAAAATTTGATTTAAAACCGAACCTGTTATTAAGATATTTAAAATATATATATACTGTGTTGGAAAATCAGAGGTATATAACGTGATAACCTCAGTCCAGTATTTACTGAACTCATGGTAGAATACCGATTTGTTCCTAAAAGCTATACTGCAGGATACTGTAATTCACACCGAGTCAAGTTTACCATCGTGAAGGGTGTCATTATTTGTCCAATAGAATGATTCCATGGGTGTATGTTATTGTCTGATCTAGGCCTAACTGTATAAAGACTGCACCTCATTCATACAGCTGTAATGGTGCCTAGTGCTGCGATAACTAAAGGTTTCACCGTCTGTCATAGTTTCCTTGGTTGTGTGAACTTCAACAAAAACAAAGAGAACGCGAAATAGCATCACCTATTAGCAATAGTAATATAATAGAATCATATTTTAGAATACTAAAACTTTTTCTCAGCAGACTCAATTCACAGTGAATACGACTTTGTCATCTTGTAAAAGTTCAGTTTGCTGTATCGTCCCTGTTGTTTACAGCGTGATACAATACACGATATGATGATTTGGCAGGAACCCAGGTAGTCGCAGGCTCCAGTGATCTTTTGAATCTCTGCAACAGAAAGTAGACAAATCTTGCATAACTCTTTCCAGGAATGTTTCAAAGTTCTCACTAGATCATAAACCTACTGTCATTTCTGGAATCCCAAGACATCGCGACATACTAACATGCATTTTTCGATTTGATGAAAAGCAGTTATGCTAAAATCTATTGACATATTTTAGAACCGTTTTATTTGTAATGCTGATTTGCAGTACGACTTGTATGCAGACAGACCCATGCATTATCATAACGAATTAACGGCATATGCTATCTTGATTAAATACACCATTTCCAGTTTGGGAATACAATTCACACTGTGCTACTGTTGACAGCTAGCATCATGTTAATAGGCACTTCCGGTTTAATGACCTTGACCGTCAATTTCGCGCGCGCACACATCTATCTATCTATATCTATCTAAAATATCTATCTATCCTCCCTTTATCCACTTGCTGACACATTCACGTTAGTTACGTTGAGGAATAGATACCTCCTGGTTACTCGTTGGTTGCTCTTTTTAGCCCACAGTCATGACGTTTATGTATCAATGGATACAATTCAACACTTGCATGACGTAATCACTCGTTAAGGACACAACAGTAGTATCATAATATATCGAATACACCAATACGTTATGTTTGGCCTAATTATATATAATACTCTTCTTTTAAAATATACAACCAGAAACCAAATAATATTTTCGACAAAAACATATTAGACCGAAAAACGACTCTCTCTGAACAACTGATGATACATATGTATGTATTGGTGATCAAACATCATGATAAGTACCTGCAGCACGGTTCCCTTTTGTCTATAGACAGCCAGAAATGCCAATACAACAAATGGAACACACGAAACGCTTGCAATGATCCAGCCAATGGAAGCAGCGTATTCAGGATAAACATAGCTGCCATATGTCGGGGGCTTGTACATCATCAGAGTTGATATGAGCAATATCTGAAACGGCAAGGCACTATGCAAGTTTGTTTATCCATGGTCCCTTGTATAGTGATCCACTTTCAGTTGTTTACGACCTACAGCCTGTTTTTAGAATATATTGTCTTCGTATATAAAATAGTTTTAGATTTACATGCTAGTTTTAAACACTCTAGTTATTTTACAATCCTTCAATGACTGGTTATTTAACAACTGATATTTATTGTGTATGCAAAACCTTTCTCGTCACTATATGACTGAACTGACTGACTGAGTTTGGTTTAACACCGTTTTAAGCAATATTCCAGCAACATCACGTCGGGGGACACCAGAAATGGGCTTCACACATTGTACCCATGCGGGGATTCGAACCCGGGTCTTCGGCATGGCGAGCCAACGCTTTAACCACTAGGCTACCCCACCGCCCCTATATGACTGAAATATTGCCGAGGTGACGTTAAATTTTAAATCACCCACTCACTAAGTTTGTGTATGTATTTGTTTGTTGTTTAACACCACATTCAGCAAACTTCCAGCTATGTGGCGGTGGTCTGTAAATAATGCAGTGACCAACAACATGCGCATCGATCTACGCAATTTGGATGCAATGACATGTGTCCATTTGATAGTGATTGTTATGATAATGGAAATAATTGCATCACTTGGTCTTTTTAGGCATTGTTGATTTGGTTATATTTTTGTTTAACGCCCCACACAGCAATATTCCAGCTATATGGCGGTGGTCTGTAAATAATCCAGGCTAGACCAGACAATCGAGTGATCAACAGCATGTGCATCAACCTACGCAATTGGGGTACGATGACATCAGCTGGCCTGACCACCCTCATGTTAGTCGCCTCGTACGACAAGCATGGGTTGTTGAAGACCAATTCTAACCCTGATCTTTACGGTTTCACACAGTTTAGGTACAGTAACTAAATGACACACCAAGTAGATGGCATATGTCGATGACATACGTTTGTTAATAGAAAATACTTTCCAGATTCATAAAAATCTTTGCGAACATAGGACTCGATTGTATAATTTTCGACTTTATCATGAGCAGGCATATAGAAATAGAAGCGACAAAACCTATTGGTCTGTCATCTGATGATGATGATACCACTTGTTCGTGAAAGTTACCACGCATACCACGCCCTGCCGGTGGCACCAGTCCTAAAAGTACTAAACACTTACAAAGGCTGTACACCTTGAAAGCAGTCTGGAACCTCTGGTATGTAAATAAGGAAATGCACCAGATATCATTGTCGCCGATGAGTCAAATTTGTAAATGTCCTCCACAGGTTTACTTTTTGAAGTCTATTATGAATCTTCACTAAGGTCTGGAATCTTGGACATTTGATCGAAAAAGACCCGTTCAATAATCGCAAGGTTCCCTTTCAAATCATGGTAAAAATAATATGCTCGATTGTACATCGACCATCGTGAATTGTTAACACCTGAAGCTATTTTTGATGTAATACTGCTCGACATAAATGGAACGTTGTCTGCTATAAATTTTAACTCATCCATTTGCCATACAGTCATCAACCCTCTACAATCCACATGAGGCGGTGTCCTTCATTTCAGTTCCAGATGATTAACTCATTATATGGAAATTGGCTAATTGCTGTTTTTAAACGGTATCAAACCATCGATATATCTGAAGATGAGGTTAAACTTCTTGACCAAATCATCTTGTTTTGAATTTGCCAACCCAACAGAATTCCGATTCATATACATAAGGCAATAGATCGGTAAGGATGGGAACACAGTTGGTGGTGTCCAAGGGGATGCTCACTTCTTTGCATCATTTCGTACCAAGCTGAAATCCAAAATTCCAAATTGTTTTTTATTCCTGATTACTCTTAATTAGTCATATGCTCACCAGCAGCATTATAGGTGTGATATATCGCCATGAAATTTTGAAGAACAACGGAGCAGGTCGTCCTATCATGAGTTCAATATCTGCACTGAAACGATTCACCCCTGAAAAAGATACAACGCATCATACTACTTGTCAAAGAATGCGTAAATGAAATGTTTCTTTTACTTTTTATTTTATAATAATTGTTATATAATTGAAGTTATTAGTATAGTCTGTATTTCTTCTTGATGTCTTCTCCAGTAAAATTGTTGTTGATGCTTGCAAACACAGAGCAAACCATAATTCAAACAGTTACCATTATGAATACCAGTAGGTCAGTAATATCAATCTGTTCCAGTGGCTTCACAGTTAATAGTACATAACATAACAAACTTGAATGATGATAAGAGAAACTAAAAGAGGTAATTATAATCGTTTAGATATTTACCGTATATCCATCCGAGAGTAATGCACTCCAGAAACCCAGCAAAGGTGATGAAGATGGTAGAAATGTACCAGTCTTCAAGCTGGTAAACGTACATTCCGCCCTAAATGGACAGTATGAAGCATTTTAACAACTCACTTGTGTAATAAGGAAAATTACTATATATATTTGACCTCTAATGTCATTACTGATTGATCCAGTCACACGGTTTTCATAGCTATTTTACAAGATATAGTGACATTATTTTTCACTAACATTTCATATTTTGAAGAAACGTGTCTAATTTACCACACGTTTTTTGAAAGTCAGATTTTCTTTGTATCTGTAGGTAAATATTCATCTAAACGACATTAAATTTCTAATAAAGTGATCATTATCCAAACCTCAGTGGTAAATATGATTCCGATCAAAAAGGAAGTGATGCAGTAGCCAAGGGTCACATGCATCCTCCACTTCAGCAGAAAGGGATACTGGTCCATGATTCCAGATATTACAGTTTCCACCATTGAAAACTATACATGCGTAAAGTAATAAAATAAAATAATATAGATTACAAAAAAAAACATGCACCTTTTAATGAACAGTATTTATTTAATATTATATATACAAAATACAGTTCTCACTGGCAACATATAGCTCATGTTTTAGAAGGTGAAAAATATTGCTGTAGCCCGTATCTTAAATTTCAAATAATTTCGCTATGGCAAAGTATGAGAAAAAACAAACCTCTTTTGAGTGTGATCTTGCGTTTATAACGGACTTGTGTGTAAATGTAGCTGATGTTCAGTTTTAATTCACTCATTCTCGTTGGCATATTCACGTTGAACTAAATTTAGATGTACACTCCTATACAGGCTCCCAGTGGTTATAGTTTCGTGTTTGTAAGTGTTAAATGAAATTTGAAAAACCGTGAACTGAGGCTCAAAACAAACTATACCACCCAGTTGGTGATATCATGTGTTTGAAGTTATCAAAGCTTTTAATGGAACTGGAGCTTTCTGGGCACTCAAAGAAGCCTATATATTTACAAAAACATTGATAAGTTTCATTTGGAAGATATGCCATTATGCACAAGTCGCCCTCATCATCTCAAACATCTTATCTGTCAATCAAAAAAATGTGCCCTTTCTGGGACAAATATTTTGTAGGGGCATATGGTTGGAAGTTCAATTCTTACCCCAGTCTTCACTTAACAAATGTATTTTTACACATTTTGCATTTTCAAACTGTTGCATTAATGAGTGCTCGTAAAAGGGAAATACACAAATGTAACAGTTGCTTAAATTTTCAACGATAATGAAATATTGGTTTATTTTTCTGCCCTCAGTGTTTCTTGCTATTACATTTAAGTATTTGTATAGGTGCCACTTCTAACTCACCAGTGAATCCAAAATCAGCAGAATCAGCATACTAAAGAAGAAGAAACTCCATAGCTGTGGAACCGGAAGCTGCGCTAAGGCTTCGGGGTAGACAACAAAGCCTAACCCTGGTCCTGTAACAAAACCATAAATAGGGTCCAGGTTTACAATGGAAGATGCCTCAAAGAAATGCATGCCGTTGTAGTTGAGTGTTGTTTGACGCCGCACTCACTCTCAAAGCTATGTGACAGCGGTTGGAGGGACATCCTGAGCATAGATCCTCGCACATCCTCGGATCCGTTCACATGCACCAATCAAGTCAGCGAACCTGACTACCCGATGCCGTTTGTTCCCTCTTACGGCAGGTGTGGATGGCAACTCTAACCTGGATCATCACGAATCCGAACAGAAATGCACATGAGGTAACACTGAAAGACTGACACTGAGTCAGTGGTGAACATTTGTCGAGGACGACAGTTTGAAACTTCTGCCCCCAATTTTGAAGTCGAGGACTACAATTGAAAAACGTCTAGGCCCATGTTTACCTTGACAGTCCACACTGGGATGTAACTGTGATACTTTTCCTTGTTTTATGGATGTTATGGCAGTGCATGGAACAACTATTGACAAGTGACTTTAGTTTTACGCTGTTTTTACCGGGATTCCAGCAATATCACGGAGGACACCATAAATGGGCTTTCCAAATTGTATCCATTTGGGGAATCGAACTCGGGTCTTCCGGGTGTCTTCGGGCTTTAACTACTTGGCTACTCCACCGCCCGTTTTTTGACAACCGGGGTACTGTTAGACAACATGTACCTGAGGCTGCAACCGCTGTGAGAGGAACATCTGCTTCATGAGCCATGAATCCAAGAACGGAGAAGACGACCAATCCGGCAAACAAACTTGTTCCCCCACTAACGAATGTACAGATGACTGCATTCCTTTGGGGGAAAAATCAGTCTGTAATAGTTACATATGAACTTCGTGCAAAAGACCACAAAATCGAATTTATGCATGTTGAAAATATTTCTTAATGGCAAGTTCATTTTTTACACACCTGTAGCAATTATTTTCAGTTGTGCATAATATTGTGATAGCCCCTGTTTTAAATTGTAAATACCATTCTTACAAGCCGTGTTTTACATTGCAAATATTTACATTTTACCGCATGTAAATTGTAAACGATAATGTTATAGCCCGTATTTCACATTGTAGATAATAATATTATAACGCAGGTTTACGTTGTAAATAATAATACTTTAGCCCATGTTTAAATTATAAATAATAATAATGTTACAGCCCATGTTCTACGTTGCAAATTGTCTTGTTATGCAAAATTGTGTTTATGAAAATATTCCTGTAGAGTGTGACTTTGTGTTTATAAGGGACGTGTGTATATTTGTGAACTTGGCCTCGTCACTATATGAAGCGGATCTGACGTCAAATTTCAAATAACCCACTCACTCATTCACATTTTCCCACGTAATGAGTGCGTGAGTGAGTTTAGTTTTACGCCGCACTCAGCCATATTCCAGCTATGTGGACCAAACAATCCAGTGATCAACAGCATGAGCATCGATCTGCGTAATTGGGAACCGATGACATGTGTCAACCAAGTCAGCGAGCCTGACCACCCGATCCCGTTAGTCGCCTCTTACGACAAGCATTGTCGCCTTTTGTGGCAAGCATGGGTTGCTGAAGACCTATTCTACCCCGGATCTTCACGGGTCTCCCACGTAATGGACCACAACGGATACAGCCATACGTGTGTTAACATGTAGGATATTGGGTTTAGACTGACAATGGATTGTCTAAGAAGACATAGAAAATGTCTGCAATACTGAAGCTGTTCGGAACTGAGTTAATTTAATTCTCTCGAGAAAAGGGAGATTTAATTGATCTAAATATGGTTTAACCATTCTATCGGAACATTACCTGAGACAGTTAGCATTAAAGTTGTTGTAGCTTGCCAGAGTAATTATACCTCCCCACACTGGACCAAGAGAGAAGAACACCTGAGCGCAAGCTTCAAGCCATACCTTTGTTGAACAAAGACGTCTTGTGAATAACAGTATAAAATAATCGTGGCTTCACGGGGCTATGGCCATCTGTCAAAAGGTTGTTGGCAAACCATGTGACAGGGATTTTGTTTCCATTTAAGAATATAGAACATGTTCTTCTACTTTTCTGAAGTAGGCCTGTTAAATACTATCTTGAACAAGAAACAGATCTGTATTTTGTCTTTTGTCATTATCAAATATGTGTTTGAGAAGATTCCATTCCAATACGCCTTTATCACGCAACCCGCTAAAAAACTTCACAACGAGGCTCGGTATTCAAACAGAAATGGCGCAACACTGCTGTGTGCCGACCTGCAGTAACGACTCCCGCTATCCGTCTGGAAGGAACCTGTCATTCCATAATATCCCAAAGGATCAAGACCTACGCAAACGCTGGATAATAAGTATCAGACGCGACGAAGGGCCTTTATTCAAGGTAAGTTAGACATGAAATGATATGACAGTCGCCTTGAGTCAAGGGTGCTCGATTTTCGCGCACGATCAGCTTGGCCGTACCGAAAATCAAATGAAATAATAAATAGTCATTTAAGGTTAACATGTCGTATCACCCGTCTAAATTGTAGTTCTGATATTGGAAAAAAAGTAATTATGATCAATTTTTAAAATTTCCTTTGGTTTTGTTTGTATGTTAACTAGCCGAGAGCCGCGGTGCGGTCAAAACATGACCCTGCTGTATAGGACCGCATCGCTGCTCTCGGCTAGTATGTTAACATGATTGAATTTAAATTTTTCCCCTAACTTAGGGGCCTGAGGCCACATATTCTTGTTTCTCATCACTATTAAAAAAATATGGATCGGGCCGACGGGTTTTAATCTTTACTTTTTATTTCATGTTAAGCCCCAAACCCTTGATTTAATTGGGAATCTTCTACTGCTCCCCAATGGGAAAATCAGAAGATAGAAGTGTCAAAATTTCATGCACATTTTGTGAACCAAAGATGCTTTTTCTATAGTGTGAAAAATAAAAATAATCTTTGGTTTGAGAGGAATTTTAGGGTGAAGAAACAAGAAAGTGGTCTAAATGATACACAGTATATTTTCATTCTTTTGAATGTTTTTGCTATATCATTACCTATTTTAAGTTCCATCTTAAAATACTTTGAGAACAGCTTACTGAATCTCGGAATGAAATTTTGCCAATATTATTATCATGATAGGATTCTATATGCATTTCAAGTTACATGTAGGTGCAACATAGCTATTGAATGAACATGAAGACATTGATGCACTTGATAGGCTTATATGATATGCTTTTCTCAAGAATAAATAGTTTAGGATGAATGTTTAAGATATGTTATGATAATTTTTTATATGTCCTATCTTATGCTTTTGTATTGAACTTTTTTTCTCAAAATTTATACAGGTCACAGACTCAACTCATGTGTGTTCCGCACATTTTAATGAAAATTCATATCAGCGAACCCTAACAGGAATTCGCAGATTAAAGAAAGGAGCAGTGCCAACCATTTTCTCTTGGAAGGAGAAGAAGGAGAGGCAGCCACCTAGAAAGCGATCAAGAAGGTTGGTTGGAATTATAAATTTCAAAAACTTTAACTGTCTAAATTATAGTTCCAAGTTTTGAAATGTGATTTTTGATTGATTACAAATCTAAACGTTTTGCCTTATTTAATGTACAAACACTTCTTTAATTTCAGAGTGTTTTTAAGTGAAGTTTTTATAATAAATTATGTTTTAATATATGTCACAAATTCATGTACCCCAAATCACTGCACTTATTGAATTAGGTGTTAGTAATATTAAGTACAAGTTACAATATTATTTTGATTTCAGCTATTCATATGAGGACAACCTCACAGATATTTCTTCTGGACCCGATCACAGCAGCGAGGATGTAACTACTACACCAGCTCCTATGCCTGATCATGATTATGCCAACCCACCAACTAGTACTGCTGACCAGCTCGAATCACTGAAACAATACACAAAGAAATTAGAAGACCAACTTGCAGCTGTGTGCTCCAAAAGGTTTGGTATAAACCGATTCACACATGACCAAGATTTGATACAGTTTTACACTGGATTTAGAACCTATGATGATTTTATTTCAACTTTCAATGCACTGAAGCCAACAGCTGTAAATATGGTGCGATGGAGTCAAGTTCAGAGACATCGAAGTTCTAATGCAGAAAATCCACAAATAAAGAGTGACATTTTCAGAGATGAATCCATCCCATTAATCGATCAGTTTTTCATGTTCTTATGTCGTATCAGACAGGGCTTTTTTGAGGTTGATTTAGCTGTGAGGTTTGATGTATCCGTCAGTTCAGTGAGTCGTATTTTGGTCACCTGGGCTAATTATTTGTATGTCATGTTGGGGATGCTACCGATTTGGCAAGAGAGAGCTGCTATCAACAAAGTTATGCCAGAGTGTTTTAAGAGCACATATCCCAATACCAGAGTCATATTAGACTGTACAGAGATCAGAGTGCAAACTCCAAGTTCAAAGACAAGAAACTCTGAGATGTATTCCCACTACAAGTCTCACTCGACTATGAAAGGGCTCATTGGAATCACACCAGATGGCATGATTAGCTTTGTCAGTGCTTTGTACACAGGTTCTGTTTCTGATAAGGAAATAACCAAACAGTGTGGAATACTGGACTTACTTGATGTTGGAGATGATGTGATGGCAGACAAGGGATTTGTAATACAAGACCTACTCACACCGAAAGGAGCAAAATTGATTATTCCTCCTTTTCTGAGAGAAAAAGGACAGTTTTCTCGCAGAGAAGTGAAAGAAACTCAAGAGATTGCAAGGCTTAGGATTCACATTGAGAGAGCCATTCGGAGGTGCAAGGAATATCATATCTTTGACTCTGTCATACCTCTAACATTAGCAGGATCCATAAATCAAGTTTGGACTGTCTGCTGTTTGTTGACAAATTTCTATGGAAAATTATTTTAGTTCATGGGCCAAAGTATGTGAACCCAAAGTGACAAGTGTAACAAACAAGCAATGTTTATGAAATGTATTTTTTAACACCATGGACATTGTTATATAATGACAAAGTGTGACCATTGACAAGTGATGGTGGAATTCATATATGAAACACACTTTTCATTGAAGTATTACACATATTTCATAAAATATCTATATAGATATGAAAACAGTATAAGATATGAACATGTTCATATGCAAATATTCAACTTCATCATCATTGATCTCTCATATATGTACAATGTTTACGGAATGTGTAGAAATGTCCTATTTCCTTGTTCATGTGCAACATGCTTCAAATTTCTTTCTTTTTTTGACATGGCAATAAAGTTAAATGTAATAGAAATTTTGAAGCTGTCACTGGTATTGGCCAGGGTGCGATTTCACATATTTATCTAGACTGCACTTAGTGCTGTCTACACCATATTTGTATCTGCAATATTGTTTACGTGAATAATAATTCGTAATTGTTATCCAATATTCATGATACGCATCATATTTGCCACATAGTGTATTCATTGCAGCCCTATGGAACAGCATTGAATGAACTTGAAACATTTGTTTTTAAATACTGCAGTTCCTTTAATGTTTTCAATAGTCATATATTTTGATCATTTCAAATCCCATGGAGAGGAGATACATGTCATGTAAACAATAAAATTATTGATAAAATGCCAACTCTGGTCTGTATTCATGTCATCTGTAGATACACACACACAAGATTACTTACAATTGCAAAGATGTGGCAGGTAATGATTGAAGTAGAATATGTCTAATTTTATTTTGATATCTTCCCACTTCCGTTGAGAGAAATATATTCTCTCAAGATGAAAGTCACTTTTACACATGACAAAAAAGTCACACCACTTAGAACCAGTTAGTGCCATCTGTCCCATGACTTGACAGTAATATTTGTCTGATAATCTGAGTTTGTACACTCCATTCACCAGATGTAAGTACTTCAGTTCTGTGATAGAGTCAACACTTGATGGACATTTTATTTCAAGCAAACCAAATGCTGGAAGGGATGTTGGATCATAGACTCTACGGTCTGGTGATGTGCCTAAATGGGGGCAACTTGGATTTATAACAAAACCACATTTGAAAACATTATTGTTAGTCCTTTCAGCATAACACTTTGCTGCGGTTTGCTCTTGTTCAATTCCATACTTCATAGCATCTGTCACAATATTTTTCCTCTTCGTTTGACACTTTTTTGGACAAAGTCTCTCAGCAAGTTTGTGATAGTCACCTTTTCTGGAATAAACAGGTTTGAAATTTGAAGATGTCAATCTATCTGAGTGCAAATCATGCCACATGTCACTGTCAGATTGAGACCTTGTTCCAACTTCTATTTCAACTGAATCTTCCTTTGAAATGTTCAATCCATCAAAAACATCTTGCTGACCATGTGTCAAAACTGTTGATATATTACATACTACATCTGGCAATGTGAAAGTAGGAGCATCCTTAATGTGTGGGTGATTGGAAAAAATGTCAGATTCCATGTTGATTTTTACAGGACGTTGGTATGACAGAACACATCCCTTAGGAACTGGACCAAGTTCACTGTCAACCATTTGTATCTCTGCAGATGCTAAACATGATCTAATTTGAGCTGATGAGTTCACATTTTCCAAATTTTGAGAAAGTGTTGAAGTAAATTCTTGACATGGTAATGGTGACATGATAGGATTATAAAATGTGGAATGTACTCCTTGAATTCTTCTCACCTTGGCTGGTTTTGATGTTGGAAATTTAACTTTATTGATCTTTATGTCACTTATTTTCTTCGGCATAATACCTTTAGTTCTTGGAACATGCCAGGCTTGAGGTAAAGATGTTTTGCTGATTATTGAGGGGACAGTCTTGAATCCACACATATTGTAATGGTGAAGAAGATATAACAAACCAAGTATGTGGTTGCAGTCACCTGCTCCAGCCTTACATGAACATGAACAGTTACTAATAGTAATACCATCACAATCTTCATGCTGGGTAATCTTAATATTCAGTGTATGAGGGAAATCATTCTTCTTCATTGATTTGAAACACTTTGCTCTAATGAAGCTTCCATCACATGCTGTCCGCACTGCAATTAATAAGAAGAGTTAGTTAATTAATCTAATAAAATTTATTTGTCAAGTGAAAATTACAACATAGCTTTTTGAATCACTGGATAATCATCTTGAGTAAAGCTGATTGTTCGGTTTAGGTATTTAATGGTAGATATTTTTATATGATAAATGAAAAAATTGAGCATAGCTTCCGCATGCCGGTTGATGGAACATAACTGTTCAGAGAGTTTAATTATTTTTTTGTACCATCATCAATATAAAAAAATTGAGTATGGCTTCCGCATGCCAGGCTACCTGCCCGGTCGAGGGAACATAACTGTTCGGTTTAGTATAATACATGTATACATGTAATAGGCTACCTCTCATATCACTCTTACTATGGCACTATGATAAATGAAGTGTTTCATGAAAAATCACAAATTATGATAATTTCCTGTAAAGAAGATGTTTCATTAAATTTATATATTCAGGATATTTAACAATATATGAGTTAAATAAAAGATTAAATGTCATCAAGCTGTCACATGAATTGAATATGACAATAATTTGAACTGCACTATCATTTATCCATGTAAATATTGTTTATCATAATTAGGCCTTTCAAAGTATATCCTTATGTATAATCAATATGTAATATTCCACATCGGTTTCGCAGAAATGATAAAAAATGTAACGGTACTTGCACTTCAAACAGGCATATTACTATTGTTACGAGTACACCAAACATGAAATGTCAAAAAATTCTCTCACAGTGTTTACCTTCAACATCGTGAATGTAGGATTCAACGAAATTGCTGTAAGCTTTCTTGTGGAGAGCTGCTGGAATGCGGCAGTTCGTCGTCCATGCTTCAATGTCGGAAGATTCGACAGCTGGTAGAGATTTCAGACTTCTTGTCCACTGTGGCAGTGACGGGCCGTAAGATGACATTTCTCTAGCAGACGATGGATTCGCGGGGCGGAAATACCGGAAGTAAACAGTGTGTATACCGAGCCTCGTTTTCGCGAGTAATGGCCGACGCGTGAGAAAGGAGTATGTCACTATATTGAGAGATGAAATAAACTGTAATGGTTTTTTAAATGACTTAAATGTATCTATTATTGTTGTTTCATTTTTAACCACCTGAGTGGTGGGTAGCTTAACAGTTGAAGTATTCATCGTCACGCTGTGGATACGTGTCCGATTCCCAACATGGGTATATTTTATGCAGCCTATTTTTGCTTGATTATTGCTACAAGCGGCATAAAACCATCTTCACTCACTCCCTCAATTGTCGTTTACCTGTATGTCCAGTAATTTGCTGAACACTGGGGTCAGGAAGAATAGGGCTCCTGTTGGTCCACCTGGCAAAGTCAGGCCCCGGATAAGCAGGATGAAGAGGAAGATGTACGGAAGTGTCGCCGTCACATACACAGCCTGGAATATAATGATAACTATCTCCTCCATAATAGATAAAATAACTTAAATTAAATTTACAACTTCTTAAAGTGTTGCTGCCATGTTGTACACAAGCTGCATGACCGCAGTATAAAAAAAAATCCTGATAACCGGATAATCGCGTGATTGATATCAAGAGCAGCGATCCATTCCCCCAGTACAATGGCACGCCTTGAGTCAAATGACCACGTCTGACCATTGTGACCATTATAGGCTTTTGTAGTCGATTCTGATTACTGCTAGCTGACTCCCTCCGGAACCCTGTGAATGTGGGTTTGAATTATCGTTCGCCTTGTTCATGATAAAGGTTTAACAGCACCGTACATGTGCTCGTGGGTCTGTACCAGTGTGGTTATCTTTAAAGATCAATATCACGTTCTTCGTACATCATGATGGCACACCGTATAATTGCTGAAACCCTAGCCATAAAATAATATCCTTCAATGATGTTTATTCACAAATGAACTGCTCTGCAAATCTCAAGCATTCGTGTATATTCCTGTCCTACGACAGTGGTCTGTAAAGAGGTCTGCACCCCCAAATCCGTGACTGGTATACTAAGCATCTATCTGTACCATTGGATATTGTAAACCTATAGTGAGTGTTTTCCGCAATCTTATTGGTTAATTACCCTTGTCGGATAGTGGCCTAATAACCGCACATTAAATCGTTGGCACTAATACCGTACTACTTTCGCTGCATGAATTAGCATAATGGAGGAACATTGCCACCTCAATTTCTTTACCTGGATTTTGATACAATCTTTGAAGACGACAAAGTCTTTGAAACATTATTCAAAGATGATGGTGTGTACAATCATATAATGGTAAAGTGATTGAAAAGCCATAAAATAATATCCTTCAATGATGTTTATTCACAAATGAACTGCTCTGCAAATTTCAAGCATTCATGTATATTCCTGTCCTACGACAGTGGTCTGTACAGTGGTCTGCACCCCCAAATCCGTGACTGATATACTAATTATATAAGCATCTATCTATACCATTGGATATCATGCCTTGCAGCAATAATACCAGTGAGCATCTGACGACAAACATGGTTTGCTGAAGAGCAATTCTAACCCGAATCCTCTCGGATATCATCTTTCATTCCAATATCAAAATAAAAATAAAATGTATCATACTGCAAATCTATTCTATCACCCGTGCATTCTTTGAAATAAGAAACGTCAATGCATAAGAATCGTTAGTCTGGACAGGTTCAATTAAGTGTTAAAAGCCATCTTGTAAACAAAACGGTAAAGCACCTCACCTTTCCGACTGACTTGACACCTTTTATAATGCAACCGAATATAAGAATCCATGACACCAAGAGACACAGAACCAGTTCCCATCTAACGCTTCCCAGGTGATCCAGTCCGGAGCTGATGCCGAGAGCCTTGTATCTGAATACAATTTAAGGACTGACTGACTGACTGAGTTTGGTTTTATGCCGCTTTTAGCAATATTCAAGCAACATCACGGCGGGGGACACGAGAAATTTGCTTCACACATGGTACCCATGTGGGGAATGGAACCCGGGTCTTCGGCGTGACGAGCCGACGCTTTAACCATTAGGCTACCCCACCGCCCCTACAATTTAAGGACTGTTCAATGCCATCACAATAATGGGAACAATTGTACTCGCGACAAAGCATATGATGTACGGTATTTCACATTTGTGAATAGAAGCGGTGGGGGAGCCTTGTGGTTAAAGACCAGGGTTCGATTCTCCATTTCAGTGACCCCGCTCTGATATTGCTGGAATATTGCTGAAAGTGGCGTAACACTATCCTCATTCACTTTCATTTGTGAATATTGCAGTGTAGGGTTTATGTTGAGTAATAAATCTTCTGAAACAGGACATTATCTATAATATTGTTACTTTAACTGCCTCTACATTAATTGCTTATGGTCTCGAATATCCGTATATTTTGGCTTTACAATACGCCCTGGCTACGTTGAATATTTACTATGAAATAGCGGACGGTGTGGTAGCCTTATGGTAAAAGCGTCCGCTCGTCACGTTGAAGAAACAGGGTCGATTCCCCTCATGGGTTCAGTGTGTGAAGCCCAATTCCTGGTGTCCCCCGCCGTGAATAATGCAAATAGCGGCGTAAAACCATACTCACTCACTCGCTGCTATCAGATAGAAAGGAACTGGTACAAATCCATGAAAGCTTGTGACACATACAGGTCATGGTGTGCCCACCCTGTATTCACAGACCGTCGTCATGCAGCTGTAGTGTTGCCGAGGGAGGCGTTAAACAACAACCACTTATTTGCCGTGGTCATAAATTCTTTATAAGTTCAATAAGTGTGTCCTTCGTCTCCCAGATCAATAAACCGACACAGCCGTTTGTATACCTTCAAGAAACTTCTGTAAAGCGATTGTTCGATTTCACCTGTATGCAAACATACATACGAGCATAATACATCAATGTATCAGTTTCCACAAACCATCGATGTTCCAGTTTCCACAAACCAAAAATACACCAAAAGTATCTATGTTCCAGTTTCCACAAACCGAAGTAAACAAAAGGTATCTTTGTTCCTGTTTCCAGAAACCCCAAAGTGAACAAAATGTTTTTATGTTTCCGTTTTCACAAACCAAAATGAACAAAACGTATCAGTGTTTCAGTTCCAACAAAGCAGAATGAACAAACAGTATCAATGTCCCAGTTTCCACAAACCAAAGGGAACAAAATGTATCATTCTTCCAGTTTCTACAAATCAAAATGAACAAAAGGTATCAATGTTTCAGTTTCCAAACACCAGAATGAACAAAACGTTGCAGTGTTCAAGTTTCCACAAACTAAAATGAACAGAGTGTATCAAAGTTTCAGTTTCCACAAACCAAACTGAACAAACTGTTTTAATGTTCCAGTTTCCAGAAGTCAAAATGAACAAACCTATCAATGTTCAAACCATATGAACAAAATATACTACGAACCCAATAAGCATGATTCCACTTACTGCCAAAATTCTTCAGAAGCTGTGTGACTCAGTGTCGAGTTATCCAACCCCGCAGCAGCCACATCTGCCGTCTGGTTGTACGATGCCAGTGTAGAGTTGATCCTACCTGAATGTTATCACACATATTTCGTATTACTATCCTCAATTAACGGATATTACATCGGGAAAATAAACTATAGTTCCACTATGAGATTCGACAAACAAACACACATCAGGAAACTTCTCACCTCCAATCCCCTGTTTCTCTGTATCATATGATTAATATATGACCTGAAAAAACCAGTTCATATGAAACGCATATGTCAAATGTTTTATATATCTTCAAAGTGCATATTTGGTCATTCAGCCCGAGTGAGTGAGTGAGTGAATTTAGCTTTACGCCGCACTCAGCAATATTCCAGCTATATGGCGGCAGTCTGTAAATAATCGAGTCTGGACCAGACAACCCAGTGATCAGCAGCATGAGCATCGATCTGCACAATTGGGAACCGATGACATATGTCAACCAAGTCAGCGAGCTCGAGCGTGACCACCCGATCCCGTTTTGTCGCGTCTTACGACAAGCATGGGTTACTGAAGGCACATTCTAACCCGGACCTTCACGGGTGACAAGAAATCAAGAAAGAATACAGACCAAAACTGTACCCGGACCTTCACGGGTACATTCAGCCCGAACTGACCCTCTTCAAATTACATCTTTACATGTCTTTATGAATTTTATCCATGGTTTTGCCTCACGTATGATCAGGAAAATAATAACGTAATGTATTTATATCATAATGTCATAGGCTATGGAGTGAAACACTGCTGACTATTTTTTCCCTCAAACGGCGACAGCTGCTCCAGATGAAAGGCATGCGCGACAATCAATTTTATGCACAATCATTCTATCAGTTTAATGTGACATACATCTGCTTCTATGATGGCGAGACTGAGTCATACTTACACAGCTCCAGTGAATAACAGCTCTTTACCGCGCATTTGCATTCAAGAGAACATCCTCTACTATAGAGTGTAGTTACACGAATGTTTGGGTTAGTGAGAGAGTTAAAATATTACATCGCATCGGCAATATTGCAGCCGTATCGCAATGAGAACATGTTGACTAAATGTCTGTCGACTAAGGACTGCAAAATAGTATGTTGAGTATCACAGATAAATTACTATGAAACAATCCAATTCAATATTAAAAGCATAACTTACTCAGAATATTATTTTATGGAAATTAAAACTCGCATGAAGCTTTGGAAGCACTTATTTTGGAAGAAAGGGTGGGGTGCTGCATGTCTAAAGTGAGTGAGTGAGTTTAGTTTCACGCCGCTTTTAGCAATATTCAAGCAATATCCAAGCAATATCACGGCGGGGGACACCAGAAATGGGCTTCACACAGTGTACCCATGTGGGGAATCGAACCCGGGTCTTCGGCGTGACGAGCAAATGTTTTAACCACTAAGCCCCTAAGCATGTCTTAACCCAAAAACGCAATCATGGCGGACCGGGTTTCGGACCCACAATATGATGAGTGTAAAACGAATTGCAGCGTCTAAGACGTCCGCTCTCCACTTTATTACCATTCCATAAACGTGTAAATATTAAAACTGATATTTGACACCCCTAATGTCTCTGTTCTGTTCATTTTATGTGATGCTTAGTATTATATATTTCCAAATGTGTGATTGAAGGACTCACTCAACAATATTCCAGCTATAATGCGTCGATCTGTAAATAGTCGAGTCTCGACCAGACAACCATTTGATCAACAGCATGAGCATCGATCTAGGCAATTGGGGTACGATTACATGAGTCAACTAAGTCAGCAAGCCTGACCACCGTTAGTCGCCCCTCACGAAAAGCATCCTCGGATTTGAACTCATGGAACATTTGGAAACCTCCTCCCCAGAACACCCTGATAACCATTATGTAAATGATGATGACTGTGGCAAATATTGTACACCACATGGGCGATACCATTTGCATCGAAGGGGACAGCAACGTTCGAAAATGTGTGTGGACATGGGCATTGGTAACGCGGAG